CAAGCCCAGCTGATCAAACAAACCAGATTCCTCACACATTGCTATGGGCCGCATCAGCATGGAGAAGCTAGGGCTGGCAGATACAACTCCACTGCCATCCTCAGGAGTTTATGAGTCCCCTGTGATGAGGACCATGTGAGCTTCATGGACATCTCACCCACCTCAAGGAGAAACTGCACTCCTCAAACTGCATCAAGGAGAGAAATGGCAAGTGATCGTGCTGTGCTTGGGAAAGGGCAACAAGGAAGTTGTGAGTGAAGGAAGAGAAATACAGCCTGTGTAGGGATCATGGGACATTAAGCTTCTGACTGGAGAAAGCAGCATGGCCCAACAACAGCCTGACTGGAAAGGGTTTTCTGTGCATAGCTAAAACCAGACAACAGTGACATCAAAAGGGCATCATTACTTCAATAGACCCTCCATTCAGAAACATAATCACTCAAATGAACATGCCGTAATGCTAGAATTTTGGAAAGTGTTGCAAGCTCAAAAATACAGCAAATAAAAGGCCATTCATAGCTGATATTTGTCCCTGCTTGGCACTTAATCAATAGAATCCATACCCTTATTAATACAAACAGTGCCAAGCATCTGCTGATGGGATATATTCACTGACCTAATGCATAATGACTACATTCTTCTTTATTTCATTATTTCCTATCAATACTGTACCACTTGCCTCTCTTTCTACTGAAAATGTGGGGGTGGTGGAGAGAGAGAGATGTTGGAGAAAATGGAGTCTTCTCTCTCATGGCTACATTTTGCAACTGGGTCGTGCTTATGGAGTCCAATATTAGGGCTGCATAGCAGATAGCAGCTCATCATCGGAGGGATACAGCATCAAAGGGATCCTCTGGGTTCTTAGTGATCTTAATAATCAAGGTGTCCATCACTCCCTCCTGCTTTACTGGGGAGGCAAGATGCGCTCTCCGTTCTGCTAATGCTCCCTTCTTCCAGTCTGGCTCCTCTTAGGAAATGCCAGTGGGAAATAAGCAGCCCTGGGACTTGAAAGTTCTGGAGATAGCAGGTCACAGCGGGAGGCATGCATCTGGTCTCTCTTGTAAACATAAAAGCTCCAGTATTCCCTGGACCATCTCCCTTCTCCTCTTCTCCCACCCTCCAGAAGGCTTGGACTGACAGCTGGCCATTCCAAAAGTTCCTTACTCTGTTTGAACATGACTTCTGATTGGCCCCAGCAGATTTCCTGAGATCTAGACATGCCCTCCAGAGAGATACAATGACATTAGCTTGCATAAACATCCTCATGGTTGATCTACAATATTGCCTCAATTTCTTCCTCATGGTAATAATCCTGCAGCCTGGGCTGACACCAGTAAAGTATAGCTGTGTGTTTCTCCTCCACAGTGGGCCATAGTCACAGACCTTACACATTTTTGCAAAAGCAGATGCTAAAACAATCTATTTATCACTTGCTACCTCCCACATAAAAGATCTGCTGGTTTGGGTTCAGTAGGACCCTGCTCAGTTACTTACTTGCTAAGCCACAGTGAGGCTGTGTACGTATCATGGCCCAGAGACAGAACACTCTGAAATTAAGATTTCTAGCTGTAGCAACTTTGGGAAGGTTTCAAAAGCAGCTCTCAGACTATCCAAAGTGGGGCAATCTGCCTTGGATTCTATAACCTGACCTCTAGATCCCCCCAAGATACCAGTGCCCTCCAATTCTGAGAAGCAGACTTCTGATTCCTGAAGTGACCACCGAGATTCTGTGGAGCATTCCTCAAGCAGATCCTCCATCTCCAGTCCTTCACCACCCCTAAGTTGCCAGCAGCATCTTAAGGAAAGCAGATGCACTACTTGAGGAGACGTCGCTCCCAGAAGGACTCCCCTGGTCTGGTTGTAAGATCCTGCCACTTGCAATGAGTCAGTGTTGAGTAACACAACTCACTACTGCGAGCTAGTGTGGTATGGTGGTGGGCAACCTGGGTGTTTTGGGTGCTTGTCCCCATTCAACTATGAAGCTTACTGGGTGCTCTTGGGCCAGTCACAGACTCTCAACCCCACAGGTTGTTATTGTGAGGATAAAAAGAGCGGAGGAGAAATATGTAAGCCCCTTTGGATTCTTTGCAAGAGGAAGAACCAGTGCTTTTTTTTTGGTAAGAAAAAAGGTGCTGGAACTCATGAAATTATTTACCTTTCGCATATAGTCAGTCACTGTACACACACCCACACACGTCAGTTGTGTAACGAAACATAACGGTCACCGCATGCAGTAAGCACTCAGAGCGCAACCACACGGCCAATCACAAGCCAAGCAGCGCCACAAACCGAGCAGTGCCATCACAACCAGTGTGGACAAAGTACACATGCATTGGATTCGACACACAAGCAGCCCACATGCACCATTTTAATGATTGTGCCACTGACCTGCTATGCTCAACAGAGCGATTAAAATTCACGTGGACCAAACATCAAATTTTCAAAAGTTACTTTTAAAACTTGGAAAATCTGTCAAAAAAAAGGTGCTGGAACTCTGTTCTGGTGCGTTCTATGACAAAAAAAGCACTGGGAAGAACGGTGAGGTATAAATGCAATGCATCTGCAACAACAGCTCATCAGGCTCTAGCAATTGGAGTGCTCTCCATGGTCCTGAATTCACTCTGGGTCCTGTAGTAGTGACTATAATGCTAAACCAGCTTCTCATTCCAGTTGTTTAGCCCCTGACATGCCTTTTTCACCCAGCTGAGATGGGAGAATACCAGATGGAATAGGACAGCTTATTCACAACAGCCCCATTCCCCAAACCTCATTCATCAAGGATTCTCTGTTGAGATTTCCAGTTCCCCCTTCTTGGCCAGGCACCTGAGAAAGCCCTGATGCTTGGTCTCAAGATGGTGCTTACACCCAGACTCAAGGGAATCCTGTGGCTGGGCCAGCTTTCCCTGCTTTCTCCTGTAATAACACAAAGATCTCCACCTTGCCTTGCTCACCATGGCCAAAGTAATGTGCAGAGGAAGAGCTTTCCATTTACTGTTGCCCCAGGCAAAGCAGAAAGGCTGCCCAGTCTACTTAGGGAACAGTTTCCTAAAGTGCCTATAAAGTTTTATGATGGATTTAGTGTGTTAATGTCATAAATCTCCACGCTGCATGATTCAGAATAATTAATTTAATAACTGTGTCATATGAGGAAAGTAAATAAGAGGGAGAACTGAATGATCAGTGAAGCATATACGATTGAAAGGAAAAACAAAAGCACCAGCCAGACACTGAATATTAAATTCTTGATGGATTTTTTTTTTGTCTGATGTCGTTTGAACTCATCTGTAGTGCCAAGTATCCTCCTTAAATGCCACCTGATTCTGTATTCCTGGGCTGGTCCGGGCTGTCATTCCAGACTCTAAACTCCAGTGCAAAAGCCAGACATACGTCTTCATATATTCCACCTTGCCATGGGTGGTTCAAATCTAAGGAACTCTAAAGGTGGTGTGGCCTGACTGGTATGGGAACCATTTTGCACACAGACAAAATGAGGAAGCAAAGGCCATCCTGAAAGGTCCTTTCAAGAGGCTGAAGAGCAGCAGTCCTTTCCCATTTCACAGTGTACAAAAGAGTAACACAGAATGCATGGCATACCACCACCACACAGCACTCAGCATGCAGCATTCAGCATGAGTATTCAACCACATCTCAGTGGTCCACAACATTACGATCGAGTCCATGAGAGGTAACACAAGTTCCTTAATGTAAAGAAACATACACCTTCAGCTAGTAGGTTCTGGAGGAGGTGCCAATTTCTTGGTTTGATGCTCAGCTCCTACATTTCAAGATTCATGTGGGCTCCATGTGGGTTTCATATGGGACCCACCATTTTGATGTGACTTGTAACAAAGAGCAAAAGTGACCAACATCCATCTTCCTTGGGGGATACTCTATTCTTCAGAGGTACCTTCTCCAACCTGGTACCTTTCAGATGCATTGAACTACATCCCCAGTGACCATGACAGCTGGAGGACACCAGGTTGGGGAAAGCTGTTCTACGCTGGATTCTGGGTACCAGAAGTTAATTTTGTCACTCCCTTAATGCTAACAATAAAGTCAGTGCCATTTGTCAGAGCTTCATTGTTAAGGTATGCATCCTTTCAAATCAAACATGGGCATTCTATTCAAAATCTCTATGCAACTCACTCTCTCACTTAACTGCATCATTGTCTCATATACACAAAGTGGTTGAGAAGTAAATTTTCTTTAGAAACTGTAGCCAATCACTGCTGAAGCTTTCATTAAAAGAGGATTTGGTAGGAAAACAAGTATTTTGAAGGTTGGTTCCAGCTGTTGTCTCACTGCATACAATCCAATTAATAAGTCTGGAGGGGAGGTAAGCAAGCGAAGGGGAGGGGAGGGGAGGGAAGAAACACCTCAGGAACCAAATTTTGGGGCACCGGACACCTGCCTTTTGTTCTGTGCTTCATAGAGAACACCACCAGTGGGCTCCATTCCAGAGTAGGGGCTCTGGCCCACCATTTTGACTTTTGTTTCTGATTATCTTTTTCCCAGAAGCTGCCCAAAAAGAAAGACCCTGTCTCATAATGCAGGAAAAGAAGTGTTGCATTCCAAGCCCTGCATACAGGAATGAAAACATCAGCTTATTATACTGATAATTAAGGCAGGCCTTTTCTATGGAACACCGGAAGTGATACTATCAAAACTTCGTTCTTGCTTATAAATATCAGAGGAAATTTCATCACAGGAAGTCAATTCACAGTCAGAAATGAAACACTGCTTCCATCCACAAATGCGTAGTTCCTACCTTCTTCTGGTACATATATAACTTCTGGGATTTGGGGGAACTTTAATAAGTATAACTTTTTTAACTAGAAAAAAATTAACAGGTTATCATAAGCTTCCAAAGAAAAGGTTGAAACTGTCATGGTTTCCACTCAAGTATGATCATAGATATTCCCGGAGAGGTACCTATTCTTTTGTTTCTGGTGATTTATAAATGCACAAATTTTATGAATGTTAACTGTATACAGACTTACCGGCAGTGTTTGTGGGAGCCTGTTAGGGTTTCAATGACAAAGCATTCCCCATCATTGAGACAGTATGCAAGATCCTTGTCTTTGCATGGCTTAAAGTGCTCGGATTGCTCAGTGGAGTATGTTGTGGTATCTATAAAGAAAGCACAACAGAGAGAAAATGGCATTAGTACCCAGAAATATATGCAATGACTCTTGAACCTAGTCAGATCTAGCTTTCATTTCACAAGACACAGAGACAACTATGTCAGGTGGCAGGGAAGATCTAAGGTAAAAGATAAGCTCAGATGGAAAATGAACCAGGGTTTATGTGTGATCTACCAGCAAAGCATGGATTCAGGATGGAATCTAGCAGTTTAAAGAATGGAGCACAGCAGAATCTGAGGTTACTGTTCTGTAGCTCAGTAGCAGAGCACATGCTTGGCATGCAAAAGGGTCTAGGTTCAATCCCTGGTATCTCCAAGGTGGAGTTGGGAGACTCACTGGTCTGGAATCCCTAGTTGCTATCACCATTCACTAGAAACCAGCCATGTGGTCTCGGAAGAAAGGGAATCGGAGACCATACCATCTAGGTTGGGGAAGCCCGGTGCAAACAGTATCGATCAAGATGGAGTGTTAGTCTGATGTGGTGTAAGGTAGCCCCTGCTTGGTCCCTGTCTACTGGATTTAGAAACTAGATAGATAAAATATAGGCTGGCTAGCATTCGTGAACCCCAGATGTATGTCAAATGCAACTCAGTCCAATTAAGGGCACCTCTGCACTGTGTCACATATTCCACCCATGGTGTGAGCATCACACAATGACTACAACGGAGTTCTCAGTCATACCCCAAAGCAGGGGATTGGTTTCACATGAGACTTCTGCAAAGCAACACATCAACCATCAAGGCACGGCCTTCGTTCTGAAGCCATGTGGAGTGTTGCCTTGAGAATATTTTAACTATCATCTCAGCCATTTGCATTCATTGCTTTCCTCTTTCCCATCGGAAACAACTGAAGTGCACCAAATAGGAATAAGAATTTTGTGCAAGAACAAATGGACTACAACTACAACCCTTTGATGACAATGTGGCTCCTTGAAGTAGAAAAGGCACTTTAAAAACTAAGCTAAAAGCTCTCTCCAGCCTTTTCTGTGTTCCTTAGAGCTACAAGATAAAAGAGCTGGTATTTGTTTTGTTTCTCCCAAGACTGTCCGTATTTTTTCTTGCACCATCATTAAATTTTGAAAATTATGTTTAGAACACCATGTTTTAAAGAGAAATGGAGCCAGGGCATTCTTAACTATTAAAGGAAAACCACTGCAGGGACTACAGAAAACACAACTTTCACTTTTGAAAATTGGTCTCCTTCAAGAGGATTATTGCAAAAAACTTGTCTTCTAGCACATGGCACAAGTGGCACACTACGCTGCATTGAACAGCGTACAAAGCTCCAAATGAAATTATTAGGTCTCCAGTACTGTCTGGCTAAGTGATCTCTCTGGATTGCTCACAGTACACCCTTGTCCCTGTAGAAGCAATATCTACCTATTTTCAAATAATCAGATGAATACTGCAAGTGAACCAGTCTGACGTTCTACAGGAATTTATTTTCTCATGAGAACATGTTATGAAAGATGGCATAGCAGACAGCTCTGGTTTTCATCCCACAGTGATAGCTCCTGAGCTAGGGAAGGACTGCATTGTATAGGGAAAGAATTACGCCCAGCTCAACTGAAAAGAATACTGGGCAGGGAGAGATTTAACTGGAGAATTAGTATCAGAAGGCCAGACCTGCAGACAGAAGGCAGCTAATCAAGGTCTTTGGGAGAATGGGACGTCTGGAAGCTGTGCCTTCTCAAATTAAATGTTTACAGGTTAAGTTGGATGATTCCCAGCTTGGATGGTTGACAAAGAGTTGGTATAAGTTGAGGAGGGCTTCCAGTTTTTCCTCATTTAAAGACTGAATTAAATTTCAAGCCATGCTCAAGAGTGTGAGAGAGAGGATAGGGAATAGCAACAAAACATAACATGTAACACAGCCTAGACTTCAAAACACTAGGGTGGGCTATACTTCCCAGGAGAACACCTGTTGTCATGATGGCTGCCTTCCATCCCAGGGGTCTCCAAGATGGTGCTAAGACTAGAAGAATGTTTGGCTGATTCAGCAGGTCTCTTTTTATGTTCTTATTGCAACAGCGGATGCCTCTCTTAGCATCTTCCAGGTGAGCTGCCCGATCTGATATCTATTTTATTTTTAGTATATATATTCCAAGAGTGCCTCTGTACAAGGGACATTCTTGGTGGAGGGAAGTGCAGGTGGGATCAGGTGCAACACAAAGCTTCATTCTAAAGTATACCCAGACACCTACAAAAAATGAGCTGGGGATGGTTGGGTATGATCTGTATGAGGGCTGAAAGAAGTGGGTCCAAATATGATTTTGCACTTGGGGACCAGACCCTGCCCCCTTTCTTGCTTTGCTGAGTTGCTTGTCTTTGGGCTGTATCAACCTGTTAATCTTTGAGCTCATATGTGGAATGATTGCTTGGTGACAGGCCATGGGGTAGCCAAGTGGGTGTTTTGTGACCCAAGGAGAAGCATGTGGTCTGCCACTGAGTCTTATTCTCCTGGGGAATTGCTGGCCATTTGTCATCATTTGTAGTGCTATGTTCATCTTCCTTCCCATGAAGGATTTTCCTCTTTGGAAAACTCAAGAAGGAATCCACATCCAAAGCATTTTGAATCCCCATAAACTGAGATACCCCATAGACAGGGTGATGTCAGGAACAGGCAAGTGTACTGCCAAAACTAGGCCATGTGAGAGTTGCAAAGGGTTGGGGGGGGTGCATGGAATTAGAAGTCAGGTAGAATTTGACCCTTCTCCCCACCGCCCTTAAAAACACAGACTTAGTGATTGATGCCTACAGAAAGCCGGCATACATCCTGATCATCTTAGCTGAAGTGGCCCATTGTCACAATCAGGGTAGACTGAACTGACAAGAAGACCCATTTAAAGATGTTCTGAGGACTTCTTCAGCATCATAAAATAGCACCATCACATATGTCTGATTGACAGATTCCTTAGAATCTCATTCTGTATTAAATCAAGGCCATTCTATAAGTCAAGATTTCCTTTAAATTTCCTTTACCCATTTACCATGAATTCCAACTCCCAGCTAATGGTAGGACGTTACATTCTAATTTTTAATCAGCACTTTAAAACTGCTGCACACTCAACACTCCATACAATGACAATCCAATTCTATTCAATTAGATTTCATCTGACAGCCATTCTCTGGTGAATATCACAGCACATTACAGGGGGGCGGAGGGATCCTGCTCCTGGAAATGTTAAATTACAGTAATTTCAGGAGTACCACTCTCTTTACAAAAGGGCAGGGCACGTCCAATATTCTAGTGGTCCTTCATCTGTAATGCAGTACTTTCATTTCCACTCTACAAACAATAAACTTGCCAGCCACTGGAGACTTGCAAAAAATGGAGCACTGCACACCAACAAAAATCGAGAAATGGGCAGCAGCGCATTGAAGAAAGGGTTTAATACAACAGAAAAGGGGCATGATATTAGTTGTTGGGGATGAGCAGGACAGTTGTTCTTGGAGTGCATTCCATGCTGATCTGGACTCATTAGAGGCAGTGGGACTGGGACCCTGGGGCTTCAGGCCTTTTGATGCTAGAAGGGGAGCACCTTATCTCCAGGCCATCTTCTCCAGGAGCTGAGACAAGCTCTGGGAATAATGTGGTGTACAACTGTTGGGAGAGGGCATGGAAGAGGAGTTCGCAGAGCCAGTTGACTCTGGCACAACTCTTGACACCATGACACAGCATCGGGAGAAGAGGGCTATCCAGCTAGCGGGACTGTGTACAGAGAAAGTGTGCTCGCGTCCAAAAGGATCCTCCCAGAGGGATGGGGCCCAGACATACTCAAAAGGAGGGTTCCCAGAAGTAGTTGCTAGGTTGGGTTCAATGGACTACTCTGAGCATGCCAAGACATTCATTCTGTGGTGTGATTGAGATATTGGATGTGCTTTGGTGAATGAGGAGCTTTTGCAAAAAAATAGTCTGTGGCCTGAATGCTCAAAGGGAGGAAAACACAGCTCACAACATTAGGTGTACTGGTAGTTGGTTTTAAGAGTCCTTTCTTTTTGAAGGAACTTGGATACAGTCTCCACAATGGCTTGAGATGGGAACACATTCCCCCCATAATATATTGCAGGCAAACAAGTATTTTTCTCCCGCTGTTAGCTCTGGTCAAAACACTTTCTAGGTTTTGGGGACCGCACATGTACACAAAGTAAACAAAAAGGGAGAACTCTGTGCCCGTGTCCATGAGCAATAGTAGCTCTTCCAAATTGTCTTTCATTGCTTGAAGAGAAAATCTCATTATGAAGTCTCTAAAAGAATCCTCTCATCCACAATACACTGTTGTCTCATTACTGCCAAATATCACGTACAGCAAGCAAAGAATACAATATTCACCCCAGCACCACTGAATTATTTGGCAGCCTTAAAACAATTCTTAACTTCAATCCCTGATGTAGCACCTATATTGGGAAGGTTCCAATCAAGGTTATGTCACAGAAGTAATAATTTCCTTGGTCTTTTAGCATTCAACCTTATACAGGCCTACTTATTTCCTTAGGATGCCATTCAGCTTCTTGTAGAATTAAGTATTGGGAAGATGTCCTAGAAGATGCTTTTCCATTGGAAGCACTATCACAATGAAGAGACACAAAAGGCGAAGGTAAGTTGTGTTTGGCCATATGAAGGAAAATATCTGTAGGAAAATATCTTTATCAGCAGCCACCAAAGAATTAATCCACTATTCCTGGGTCTTCTCTTTAAGTTAGCATTGGCACTTCTCCATTTCCTTTGCACATGAGTCAGACATGACTCATGACAACATGCCTGCCTCTTTAAAGTACAATGTGAGAAGTATCTCTCAGAGGAAATGACAGATGTATCTCCATTATTCGGCTCATGAATTATATTGCTTTTTATCATTCCTACTTTGATATGAAACAAACATGAAAAAGAACAAATGTATGCCAGTGGTGACACGGCACACATTTTGCAAACAGTAAATGAAAGAAGAGGTTAGAAATATAACATTTCACAGTATGTAGATGTGAC